TTTTGTATTTTATCTATCTAAAAGTGTACTTTTTCTTTAGTTTTGGTCTCTTGATAATTAGATTTTTAATTTTGCTTTCTCAATAGTTTAATTTTTTAATTTAATGATTGATTGTAATAAATTATATTTTAGGATAAATTATTTCGATTGATTGTTGTATTTTTATTTTGACTTATGAATGAGTGCTTTATTATTTTATGTTATTATTTTTACAATTAATAATTATAAACAAATCAAAATAAAATCTATGTCTTACAAAAACATTTTTGGTAATGTAGCGAAGCCCGTGTGGTATACAACTTGTTACTATATAAAGTATATCTAAAAGTATGTCAGTCTTTTCCACATAGCCATCCATATTCCATAAGCATTCATTTCCTCTGAAGACCGATGGGTGATGAGTGACATGACAATTATGGATAGGATTTGTTAAGCTTGCGCCAAATTTGTATTCACATGGCTCGACTGACGGTTGATGGCCGGACTGTCAGTTGTTGGTCATCCCTGCCCACTTACATGCAACTGCATGGGAATGAAGACAAAGGCTTACCCTCAATTCAAACACTACACCATAAAACTTCATCGTTTTTCTAGGATAAGAAGACTATGGTAGTTTACAAATAATTTTTTTGAAAGTTAAAGTATGACTTTGAGGGACATATTACATGTCTCGAAAGTCAAATGAATGACAATCGACCACAAAATTGTACTAATTTCATGTATTCATGCCCTTTGTGTGGTATTTTTTTTTGGTTACCCCTATAGCTAGTTGAAATGATAATGGCATGTGGGTGTCTCGCCCAAAGTTGCCACTTGCTTTAGCTAAAGTGGAGGTGTGTTTGGCCAAGCAACTTTTTTGTACAAAGTTGGTTTCCTAAAGACTTGGTTGGGTAATTAGTTTGATATCAAAGGTGTTTAACAAAAATTTGAGTGGCATGTGACAACTATACCCTAGGCACTCATCGTTATAACCCCTTGGTTCAGAAGATATATGTTGTTGTCTCTAGAGGTTTGCTCACTAACGCTATTATAAGAGGGTGTTCCGCGAAGGTGTATCAGGCTAGCTTCCCTAAGGACCTATATCCCCCTTAGTCTTGGCACACTAAAGAAAGGCACGCCCCCAACAACAAAATGTTTGTTATAGGTGTGGGCAAGCCATTTCAAACTCGAAAACTTGAGATGTGGGGCCGACGTTCAATGAGACCTGTTGTTGGTAAAAGCCTCGTGCATGGTTGAAGAAGATAGCACATGCATTGGCTTGTTGAGCACAAGAAAACATGACTAGTCAGTGGGTTCTAATTCTGGTGAATTGCAAGTTTGAAAGACCAAGTCATGGGTTAGGCATGACTTGACACATAGACAAGACAAATTAGGTATTGTGGACTCACAAAGAAGTTATGTTGCACGTCATGTGAGACGGTTATGAACAGTTACTGGCATGTGCATCTCAAGTAAAGTTGCTCTTTGCAGTTGTTAGCATGTGCACACGCTAGGATCTATAGTGAACTAAGTGAGTTTGAACACGTTCTGTAAGCAAACTCCTAACCATAATCTTTTAAACTTGTCAAAAAGTAAAAAGCTTTGATTGTTTGGTCTGTAATCTTGTGTACCTACTGTGTTTTGATTATTGCCCACATTTTGTTCGATGGAGTGCTTCTATGAGCGATTGTTTGAGTTTGATTGAAACTCAATGTTGGTTGTCTACACAAAAAATCGAGTGAAATTTAACCCTCATAACAGCCATGAAAAATCAACTGCCTCTTTTGTGTGACAATGTCTTTTTAGCAAATATTGTACACTTTTTATCGGACTAGCAATGTAAAAATTTTCGTTAGAATATTTAATAGAATACATAAAAATTTAAGTGTTAATAACTCTTTTGATATGTATATATATATATAAATATATATATATATATATATATATATATATATTTAGTTTAGTCCTCATTATTTTAATTTTGTCAATTTGATCACTAAAATATTTAATTCATGTCATTTTTGTCCATATATAGATAGACCGTTAAGTTTTTGACGGAATGATCATGTGTTTGACACAATATATCATTTAAAAAATGACACGTGGTCACTTCTGTCAAAAAATTTAACGGATTGTCTAATTAGAGACAAAAATTACACGAATTGAATATTTTAAAAATCAAATTGATACAATAAAGACTAAATTGACAAAAAAATACATACTTTAAAGATTAAAATTGTTTTTAACTCAAAATTTAATTATATACTAAATTATATACTATCTAGTTTTTATCATATTTAAATTGTTTATATTGTGGACAATAAGAAAAAGATACATACATTAATTTTTTAGCACACAAGATAATATTATATAAATAAGTTGTCGGTGTGTATTAATATTGGGGTTTTAGAAGAAAAAATTAATTTTTTTATATATATCTTGTCAAGAGTAACATGACCATCTAAAAATTTTGTGTATATTGAGATTTACATGATATGCTAGATGTTAATTTGTTATTTAAGTATAGAGTGATATAATGGTAATCTATATCTATATAATAAAGTAGCTTACAATTAAAATCTTGAAAGATAAACAAAATGACTTTTATTGCTTGCGATTGAAATCGCTTTAAATTTTACTTTAAAATTAATCTAACGGCTAAAATTAACACCCTAAATTTAATAGAAAAAATATAGCCCTAAGGATGTATTTAGAGTAATTTTTTAAAATTATTTTTAAAAATTATTTTTTATAAATACTTTAAAAAAAAAATTTGTTTCAAACTACCCCACCAACCACCGCCACCGCCACCGTCGCCGCCGCCGCCACCATCACCACCACCACCATCATCGTCGTCGCTGTCACCACCACCGCCCCCATCGCCACCCCTACCACCACCATCGCCACCACCGCCACAGCCACTACGGTCATTGTCACCCATCACAACCATCCTCGTCTCTTAGTTTTAAGTTTTATTATTTTTTATTATTCTGTGCTTTCAGGTACAGACAATAACTAATTTTTAAATACAGGACATGTTAGTCTTTATATTTTTTTATGAGGGTAAAATAGTGAATTAAAATTTTTTCATAAAAGGTACTTTTATTAGTAGTATAAATATAAAACAATGTTGTAATTTATTAAGTTTATTTCAAAATACCAAATATATATATATATATGAATATATATTTATTTGTTTGTTTGTGTATATATTTGAATTGCTTTGGAATAAAACTTAAAGCTAGAGTCGGTTATTTTCATAGCTGTAAATGTGCCGATTTGTACAACGGGAAAAAATATTGGGTGTAACCGTTATATCATATCATTATACTGACATGACACTATGTTATTATACTTATATGGTGTAACTTTCAAATAATAAGATAATATGTGGACAGGTGGATTCTACATATTTTAGTAACTATTCTGTCATATCATTTAATAATTATTTAAATAAGGGTTCATTTTTTTTATTTGTAAGTTTATAATTAAATGACGTAATGTCATCATTACGACTAATATTTTTTTTGTACAATGGGTGTCAAAACCTAAGTGGAATTCAAATTTTAAACGTCTTCCAAAACATGGGACATGCACTCCTTTCATTTGGTGTCTGTTTGCTTATAAATATCGTATTATAACGTGAAAAATGTTATGTTTATCAACTCTTTTACTAAATTATAAGTCTCAAATGATGTGATAGATTGAGAATCACTGGATAGTTAGTGAAAATTTGTGGACTCTATTGATCTTATGAATCACATTAATTTAGTATAAAAAATTTAATAAAAATTTTAATGAATATAGCATTGTTGTTATAATATTAATATGTGAGATAATCCTCACATAGCAATGGTGACGATGGTAATGACTATTCATTGGTCACCCACCAGTTGCAAACAAATGCCTCACTTCACGGCCTATTAAAAGTTGTAATTCTACTATTGTGTCGTTCCAACGGCTACTGCTATTTTAGGGTAGACCGTGTTGTGTCACTTAGGATAGACTTTAATAAATTTATTTGATGATTTTAAATAAATTCATTCAACAGTCACAAATATTATTTTTAAAATCATTTGTATTGATTTATATTGTACCGTATTTTTAGATACGAATTATTCCTAATAAATAAATAAAATTAAAGAGTTATACAATGAGTTTTGAATAGTGGTTTTTGGTGAATCTTTTCAACAATTGATACGGATATTGTTGCAATCCAATCTTAGTATTATGTTTTGTAAGTCATAATCTATTGCCTCGAATTTTGTATTTAGAGCAACACAAATCTACACTTAGGGAAAGAGCAATGATACATGCACTTATAAAGTAGACTTAAAAATTAGATTTGATAATCTCAACTATTATTTTCACTGTAGGTCCCAGCATTTATTAGGATCCACTATCTATTCAATAGTTGAGATTATCTAGTCTATTTTTTAAGTCCATCTAGCATTACTTCTTAAGGAAATGATTGTACATTTTTACTGATAATTTTTTTTCCTCTTATTTATTTTATTTTCTATTTTATAATATTTTTTAGTTAATTTTCACAACAATTTTAAGAGTAGGGTTAATATGGGTGCTATAAATACAAAGTTTTATTAGCAATGTTACGTGGACTTAAAAATTAGACTTAAAAATCAGACTTGAAAATTATAACCATTGATTTTACTATAAATTTCAATATTTATTGAGACTCACTCATTATTTAATTCTTAAAATTATCAAATTTTTAAATCTATACAGTATTACTCAAGTTTTATTACATGTGCAGGTCTTTGATCAAAAAAACTCATGGCCTCATGGGCAGTCTGTTGATTGATGGCCCCATTGTTCTCTATCCAAAGCCAGTGCAGCTCCGTGGTCAATGACACTGCGACGTCACAACACATATTTTCTTTTGTCTATCCAATTATTTCCAGGGATTTTTGTCCATAAATAGAGGGGCTCACAGCTCACTCGTTCCACCAAACTTATCTCATACTCTCTCTCTCTCTCACTCTCATCAGAGTGAAGTGAAGATGAGAACCCCATTGCTGTTGTTGCTGCTTACTTTTACTGCAATTCAGTATGTCACCCACGCAACCGAGTACAATGAGGAGGACCTAAAAGTGTCGCCGGAGAGCGTCCGTTTCGACACCGGAGGGCTAAGCCGTGGTAGCTTTCCGAAAGGATTTTCCTTTGGAACGGCCACTTCTGCTTACCAAGTTGAAGGCATGGCTGACAAGGACGGGCGAGGACCCAGCATTTGGGACGCCTTCATTAAAGCACCTGGTACAGTAAAATCACCGCCATTAGTATATTTATACAAGTTTAATGTACGTTTGTGTATGACTTTGATGTTTATATATATAAATTGTAATGAATTTATTCTATTCTTATATTTGGAGATAGGACGTGAACCCAACAATGCCACGGGAGAGGTGTCGGTGGACCAGTATCACCGGTATAAGGTATTACACATACAGACTTTTCTGTCCAAAACATGACGTATGTTTAATTTTGACGTAATTTAATATATATATATATATAAAATTTGAATAATTGAGGGGATAATATGAGAGCCTCAAACAACTTACAGCACAAAACCTGTCGTTTTGCTTGACAGCACCTCTGCTGTTACAGCAGAGGATCCGGAGCCATAGATACGGTGTCTGAAACAGTGAAACTTGTTTAAAAGGCTGAAGATAACACCATTCTTTGTTCAATAGATTATTTTGCCATCAAATTCAATAAATAAATAAACATAACATTGCATGAATAAGGCCCGTGACTGGGTCAGCATCAATTATCTGATTGAGACTGCTGAAGAATAAGAAACAATAGGGCTCTTGCTGTGGTGGGGTGGGGGGGTGGGTCAATTAAAAAAAGAACAAGTTGGGATGATTTTATGGGTAAACATTCAGAAATGGCGAGAATCTCATGTACCGGGCTGCTTTTTATTTTGCTTATTAGATTTTCTGAAAGGATTGTTGAAAATTATCTAGTTTGTAGGGAAATTCCTAATCTTGTCCTAGACAATTAGGTTGGATTTGAATTGATTGATTTTTGGCAGCTCTGATTGGAACAGTTAGATATGTATGTTTTGATGTCTTGTAATTGGCAGACATTATGAACCAATGCTTCTCTGTTATGGGTGCAGGAGGATATTGATCTCATGGCAAAGCTGAATTTTGATGCCTACCGGTTCTCGATCTCATGGTCTAGGATATTCCCAAGTAATTTGACCATTATTCTTTTGATCAGTTCTAAAAATTCGTCTCTTCGTTTCCACACACATACTAAAATATTCAGGGAATTGTCTGTAGATGGAACTGGAAAAGTAAATTGGAAGGGGGTTGCTTACTATAACAGGTTGATCAACTACATGCTCAAAAGAGGTAACTATCTTTCAACTAGTTTAGACCGTACTCATAGAGCACCCCATGCTCTGAAAAGAAGGGACAAAGATACAAATATTCGAGATGTGATGCGATCTATCAATATCCGCATTGTCCTGATCATCATAAAGGATGATAAGCATATGTGATACGTTTTATATTCATCTTATGCATTTCTTCAGCTTATAAGAATGATTGAATTCTATATATTCAACCACCAAAGAATAATGAGCATATAATCCATGGATGTAGACATAATGTGCTGAATGAATCACGTATATCTTTTTTATTGTTTTACCTTATCTTCACTACCTTCCAAACTTCTTTACTAAACTCCATTCAAACACCAATTTTCATAATGTTTTACAGGCATTATCCCCTATGCTAATCTCAATCACTACGATCTTCCTCTAGCACTTCAGCAGAGGTACAATGGATGGTTAGACCATGAAGTAGTGTAAGTATCAATAAACGAACTTTAGTCCATTAATTCCATCTAATTTGACAGTTATATCAGTGGAATAATCTTGATGAATGATTTAAACTCTGCAGGAAAGATTTTGCTGATTATGCTGAATTTTGTTTCAAGACATTTGGAGACAGAGTGAAGAATTGGATGACTTTTAATGAACCTAGGGTGGTAGCTGCTCTTGGTTATGATAATGGTTTCTTTGCCCCCGGAAGGTGCTCTAAAGCGTATGGAAACTGCACAGCTGGAAATTCTGCGACAGAGCCTTACATTGTGGCACATAATCTGATTCTATGTCATGCAGCTGCAGTTCAACGATACAAAGGAAAGTACCAAGTAAGATTCACATTTCATATTTTTTTAAGTCTCCACATGATCTTTTGCTTCGGTAGCTCAATCCATTTTAGGAGATTGAATGCGAGAGCACGTGTAAACTGCAGGAAAAGCAGAAAGGAAGAATTGGCATTCTTTTGGATTTTGTTTGGTATGAACCTCTTACAAGATCAAAGGCTGACAATTATGCAGCTCAAAGAGCACGAGACTTTCATGTTGGATGGTAAGAAGCTATACACATTTAAAGTCGAAAACCTGTTGAGGTAGATGCATATAGCTATCAATACAACCATGTTTTGCAATAGTGAACTCGAGATTTTGGGTCTCGGATTCATTTAGAAATACAAGATAACTGAGGACTCATTTCAGAACTTGAAGAATATAAAAACATGCTTTTGGTGTTCTGCATAGGTTTCTGCATCCCCTTGTTTATGGTGAGTACCCAAGAACAATGCAAGACATTGTAGGAGATCGGCTACCAAAGTTCACAACAGAAGAGGTCAAGATGGTAAAGGGCTCCTTTGATTATGTGGGTATAAACCAGTATACTGCTTACTACATGTATGATCCACATCAAGCCAAGCCAAAAGCTCTGGGCTACCAGCAGGATTGGAATTGTGGATTTGCCTGTATGATATCATTCTTTCCTATTCCCTTCTTAAAAAAGCAAAATTTGGTATTTTTAATGTTTAGATCAGTCCGTTTGTTTCTGAACTTTGTTGCCTTTTCCTTCGCCTGTGAACTTTGCAGATGAACGTAAAGGCAAGCCGATTGGCCCAAGGGTAATTTCTATCAAATCTGCATGAATGCCAATGTGGAAAAAATGAAGCAAAATCCCCGATAACATGCTTTTAACCCTTTTGTTCCTGTCATGAATAGCACTTAGAGCTATCATTATTTGCTGATGACTTAAGTATCTGCAGGCATATTCTTACTGGCTTTACAATGTACCATGGGGTCTGTACAAAGCAGTGACCTACATAAAAGAACATTATGGAAACCCTACCGTGATTTTGGCTGAAAATGGTGAGTCTTCTGTAATTTTTAAACATGCTCTAGAACAGTTAGATGAGTTTTCATTGATTTGGTAGACATTCTTAGAAGAGGTGTAGAGGACTAAATTTTCTATCAACTAAAAATATTTTTCAGGAATGGATGATCCAGGTAACATCACCCTTCCTAAGGGTTTGCATGACACCACAAGGATCAACTACTACACGGGCTACCTGGTTGAACTCAAGAAGACAATCGATGAGGGTGCCAATGTGATCGGCTACTTTGCGTGGTCATTGCTTGACAACTTCGAATGGAGATTAGGCTACACTTCGAGATTTGGCATTGTTTATGTCGATTTTAAAACCCTTAAGAGGTACCCAAAGATGTCTGCCTATTGGTTCAAGAAATTACTTCTTCGAAGCAAGGATTGAGCACAGATGACACTCTCTCTTTCTCTTTTAGGTTTTCTTTGTGTTGTAAAACATTAAACATCTACCGCGATGGAATCAATAAGCTCCAGTCAATGGCTCAAAATGCTCAATTTGGGTTAGACCTTGATCCTACGACTTAGGCATTACTCAATAGAGGTGTTGGGCTTACAGAAGTAGAAGCAGTCTCTCAATTTTGTTATTGAGCAAGAGTAGCCTTTATTTTCTGTGCTCAACTCGACTTGATTGACCCTCATCCCAATGCATGGTGTAAATGTTTTTACATGTGAACAAAATGAAGGTTAGAATGGAATAGACATAACAATAGAATAGAATGTACATTATCATTATAACAACTACGATAAAGTGTGGGAATAAAATTAAAAATTTACTTAAATATTTAGATACTCCCTTGACCCAAACTCAAATTCAACTCCGGACTGCAAACGGAGACTTGACCACAGACCCAAATCCAACCCTAGACTTTGGACCAAAATCCAACCCCAGACGACCAGACCCCGACGCGGACCCTGGGTGGAAGTGGTGGTGCTAGTAGTGGTGGATGAAAAATACCATAAAATATTAGAATGATAAATCATAAATTAGTGGGATTAAATATTCCATGATAATTAGTATTAGTATTACTAAATAATAGTCATTCAATTCTCATGTTTCATTCTGACCAACCAAACGCAATGTCAACTTTTTCATCTGTTATGCATAGGAGAAATCAGTTAGGGAAATTAATGTGGAGAATTCTGAACTAAACTGATTTGCCTCTCGGATCTGAACCTATTATTGGCTCCAGGCAAGTACTTTAACCAAAATACAACACATGGATTTTTTTATTCAAACTTCAACGTAGACAAAGGTTTTAGACAAAAAGGAAACCAAACACTTTCTTGTGGGTTATTGTTTTGTCTATTATGATTATGATTTTCATGCAAAAAATAATGGATGTCAGTCGAGGTTTTATTTATTTATTGATTATTATGCCTAGCAATCAAAAGAACGTCCACTGATATAGCAATCAGTCCCTTATATATTCTTATAGATAAAAAATCCTAAGCAAGAAATGGCAAAATAAGAAAAACAGCTTAAACTGGTGATCAAAAAACACTTGTAGCAACTACCAAAATATTCAAAATTGAAGCCGTGTGTATGGGCCCCAAACCATCAAACATAAATATAAAGAAATCCAAATATCATTTCCAACATTTCACACAAAAGCCTAAGTCAAGTCACTTAGACTATCTCTATTATAAGAAGGCAGGCAGGTGCATTTGGAACTTGCTTGACGACTAAGTCACTAACGCCCAACTCCCCAAACTCGGACGACACCATCTGTATACCCACTGAACAATGTGCTTCCATCAGCGCTCCAACTCAAGCAAGTGCAATAAATGACCTGTAAAAATACAGTGCAAAGGATAACAATAATATATAAGCATCTACTTATTACCAAGATGTAGTCAAACAAACAACCACTTCCAACTTCAGAGCACACTAGGCACAATGTAAGGGGTTAAAACTCCTAATGCTTAAATGATGAGCCTTAAGCACCATTTTTAATCAAGAACAAGTCCACGACATTCCAGGTACAAGAGAATTCGAAAATGTGTAAGAAATGAAAAAAGTATAGACAACAAGACTAAACCATAAGTGTACCAATGTCAAATTTATTAAGTCAATAAATGGCAAAAGGAGCTCATCAAATCTACAAGATCTACACATTCCAAACTAAAACACAATGAATATAACTGGTACGTTGGAAAAAATCCTTCACATGTCATTTCAACAAGAGGCAATATCAAAGACCAAATAGACAGATATAGATATATACACGATAATGAACAAAGATCAAAACATACAGCAATGCCCAAACAAACCAGACAAAAGCTAAACAGATATATTAAGGAATAAAGTAACACAAAACATTCATATACTACCTCGCACACTCGAAAGGAAAACAACCCAGTATTCTAATACATAAATATGTAAACTGAAATATAAAGTAAAATCATAACCAAATCTAACAAAAATGAGAAACCGAATTGCATCCCAACACATATAATGAATATTGCAATGACATGATTAAATAGCAAAAAAAGCCAATGGATCTAAATGTCTAAAGCTACATTTTAGTCTTCCACAAGAATATAGGAATGGTGAAACATAATTTCAAAAGAAATGGTAGTTAGCATACCATTTGAATCAGAAAAACTAAAAGGGCATATAACAAGAAGAAGCAATACTAAGCCAAAACTAAACATTACCGTCATCATTAAAAGCAAAATATCATCAATAGAGCTGATTCTCAGGTGAAACTACAGGTAAAATATCATACTGGCTAGTTACCACCAAAAAATATCAAAGCTACAAATCCAAGAAGTTTCATTAAACCAAGACCCAGAATTATTATCTTCATCCAGTCATACATCTGTAAAAACATTCCTAGATAAATGTGTAGCTACACGCATACACACCATGCAATGCAAGTGAAATGTCCTGCCTAATGCTGGTTTTGGGATTTAAAAGATCTATTTTACGATATACCCCTCTGCTAATTTAATAGAATTGCTATTATTATTATGGTGTTAATCAAATCAAGCCAAGCCTTTTGTTATGCCCAAATTGACTATCACAAAAAAATAGTGATTTTGATGGAGTATCAGATTCTCTTGTATACCATAAAAATTGGGGTCAATATATTGCGGAATTTGGATTCTCAACTCAGGCCTGTCGTAGTTTCCAGATCATATGCTCAAGTTCTGCTCAACTAAATACTGCTCAAGCTCAAGCTCAAGGAAATCCAAATAACATTTCCCACAAAATATAACCAGCCAATTTCAAATCAATGATGCTTTGGGTTAAATAAATCATCTTATGTCCTATGTTTTGATTGTTCAACTCAGTACCAAGTCTAATCAAGCAGTAACAATGAACCACAATAAGTTGCTTGATATTTTCTATACCCAAGTCACGGAATAACTGGAAGAAACTCTAGAATCTATCAATCCACGGATCAACATATTACGTGTTTTTAGATTTCACTGTCTTAAGCCCTCATGTGTGCTGGTGATTGCCCCCATGCCACAACACAGCAAATCACCATTTCTCGCTCGTGTCCATATTACTTGTACTTTCATTTTCACCAATCTCCAATGAGTGCCCCCTACTCTCCTCTTTCTCTCTCACTGTCTTCTACTCTCCCCTCCAAGTCCTCTTTTTGTCTCTCCAAATGGCTAACTTGTAGCATTAATAACTCAAGACTTCTAAACAGAGATTTCCACAAAGTATCATAAACGCACTCTTTCTCTATCCTACTAATGTGTGCCTCGGTTATAGACAGAAGAATGACAATAAAAATTTGAAAACATATCGCTATAGCTTAATAGGCTAGCAGCCCAATTCTCTATTTCCTCCTGCTTTGTTTTTCTACACAAGTTATCTGTCCTCTCGAGGGCCGTTGGCTTAATAAACAGACACTTACATAACAGACTAGCATCCATCTCTATTCCATTGCTCATGTGCCTTGACAACATTAAACATGTGTTTACATATACAAATCTTTGTCAACATTATAACAATCAAATTAGAGAAAAAAGTTTCTAAAAAAATGTCCCTCCTCATTTTCTTTGTTCCCATATTTTGAATTATTCAATACAAAAAGCATAAATTTTCTCAAATTAAATTACTGGCCAGGGGGTGGGTACCATATCGAATAATTGAAAATAAAAAAAAATACTGATAATAATTATTATCAAAATAACATGTTTAATATTATAGTAGATCAAATAAAAACACAAAAAAATCTCAATTTATCAATTTTCTCAGATAATTCATAAAATCTAAAAGAACATAAAAAAAAGCCATAAACAAGTATTGAAGTATAAAAAAGATAGGAAGAAAAGGCTGAACGAAGAAAACCATGAGAAAACATCAAAAGACAAAATACAACACAAGCCTTAAGGCATCGTTCTATGCCCAATCAAAGTGCCTATAAAAAGTGGGGAAGCGTGAAAAGTATCAACGAGGAGGCTTTGAAAATATGCATTCCAACTCTATGTGGAGGCCTTGAAAATAGAGGATTAGCACTGTGCCATGCCAACCACTTGATAAAAATGAGTTATAAATTTTTTGGCAAGGAAAAATTGGATTCATATAAACCATCCATTTCAGCCGAGTTTTATAAAATTGGCCAGTTTAAATGGGTTTTGAACAGGTGAACTGCATAAACAATCGAACTTACGACCCAGCCCAGGCTTAGGCACCGGTTGGCCAGGTTCGCTGGTTGACCTGCAGGGGCAGGCCAGGTATAATAACAGTGTATGTAACACCACACCCACCATCTTTATTAATTACATAAATTTTATTTTGTTTTAAACAGTTAAGTACACTAATGGATTATTTTTAAAAACAATGTTAAGGTGGGGCTGGGGCTAGGGCTTGGGGTGGAGAGAAGTAAAAATTTCCTGCATAACACGGCGCCGCCTGTAAAGAGCCATGTATAAACACACATTTTTAGAGACCTGAAGCACTAAGGACCGTCACATATATTGATTTAAGAGAATCCACACTTTTTGTTCCTTAAATACATCACCATATATACACACAATCATATGAATCACATGCATGCATACATCTCTAAATGTGCAGGTTGGTTATGAAAGGATCAAAAACACTAAGAAGAATGTGATTAAACCTTGTTTTTTCCAGTATTGTTCTGGCCAGTTGTAGCCACCTCGGGCGCCATATCACTTTCAGCCTTCAGATCCACCCGCAAATCCACCACCACAAGCTTGCTCTCCAAATCCCATATCCTTATACACGCCTCCGTAGCTGCGCATAACCAGTACCGATTCGGGCTAAAACACAGCGCGTGTATTATCGACCCAGCTTCCAGCGAGTAGAGCTTCCTCCCCTCAGCCAAATCCCACAACAATATCACCCCATCTTTCCCACCACTCGCACACAACGAGCCGTCCGGCGACACCGCCACCGTGTTGACGTAGCCTCCGTGGCCGGCCAACGTTGACCGGAGCTTACAATTGGTCAAGTTCCAGATCTTCACAGTCCGGTCCCACGATGCCGAAACGATGGTGGGAGCCAGATTATTTGGGCTGAATCGAACGCAACTGACCCAATCGGAATGTGCTTCGCCGTCCTGAATGGTGTACTTGCACTCGCCGAGGGTGTTCCACAGCTTGATCGAACGGTCACGAGAAGCGGAAACAATCTGACGGTTGTCGAAGGAGAACGCGACGGATAGGACGTCTTTGGTGTGGCCTACAAATCGGCGTGCTGTGGTCCCAGCCTGTAGATCCCACAGACGGAGCTCGCCGTCCCATGAGCCGGAGAGAGCAAATTGGCCGTCAGAGGAGAGGACGACGTCCTGAACAAAGTGGGAATGGCCGTTTAAACGACGTCGTGCGACGCCGTAGGTCCTGTCCTCCTTTGTCAAAGACCAGAGAATTATGGACTTGTCGCGTGAGGAGGTGACTATCATGTCGGAGTTGTCGATCGGAGTGGCTATGGCCGTGACCCAGTCGGTGTGGGCTCTCATCGTGCCCTTCAGAACCAAAAGCTCAGACATTTTTGGAACTTTGGAGTGATGAGTCTCTCCCTCTCTCTCTTTCTCTCTCTCTCAACAGAGGATCAGGAGTGAGGAACAAGGAGACGGTGCGACTCAGAATATAGGAAAACCCTAAGCCGGTCAAGAGGGGTATATATATAGTGGGGATTTTAGGGTTTTGAGTGTTTGGGGCTGGGTGGGACATAAAATGGGTTTTGTGGGTTAAGGTGTAATTCAGGTGGGTATGTTTGGTAACAGATATAACAAGTGTTTAAGTAAATAATATATTATCTTTTATATATGGCTATATATTTACAAAACTTTTGAATCATTACATTATTTTGACAAAGTACATAAGACAATCACATCATTCTAAATTAAAATATATGCTACTAATTTTTATTTTTTTTCTTAGTACTAGATTTAATTTGTATAATGCTTTTTAATTATAACATAAACTTGAATATGATATGTCATTTCACTTAATTAGTGATTCCTCGTAACTGAAGTGATAGTATACTAAGTTATTATGATACTATGCATATATTAGATTATGTACACAGTTGCAATGTGTTATAAGAAGTATCTCTCTCTCTATATATTGTTGGTTTTTTTTATGGATTCTAATTTGTATATGTGATCTGGATGATGACCCAACCCAAAGTAATATTGTGTGGTTTTTAATGAAAATTTTTTTGAGGTTTAGTCCATGGAGCGAAGGCTTGGGCCTATAGCGCTCATGGATAAGCCTTGTGGGGGTTCGGGGGCAATGCCCCCAAGGAAAATATTTTTGAGCCCGTTATACAACCCAGTGCGTAGGACATATAAACCCTGTTGTTTTGGTGATTAGAGTTAATCGTGGATTGTACAGCCGCTCTCTGTATTCAACTCTCTCAATAGTGAAATCCCTGCAGCTTCGTGGACGTAGGCAAATTGCCGAACCACGTAAAATCTGTGTCTTGTTCTTTCTTGTTTCTTATTGTTTTATATTCTTAATTTGTTCTTCGATTGTGTGTGTTTGTTAGTGGATTTAAATCGTGTTAAATCCCAACATATATATATATATATATATATATATATATATATATATATATATATATATATATATATATATATATATATATATATGTAATGAGTGTGTGTTGGAAGGTGTGTTGTGGAGTGTTTGTGTTGAGTTTGTAAATTTTTGGGGTGATGGGTGTGTGAAATTTTAGAAAAAAAATATACCTCTCATAAGTTCAAAAACCTAATTATCTTATTATATAGATCGATACATAGTTTATATGCTTTATATAGAGTTCACAAAAAAATTTATTACCTAAGTTTAGTCATGTGCAACGCACATTGAGCATTTCTAACCACTTATGAATATCATTAAATTGAGAAAGTTATTCTGATTTTTTATTTTTTTCTAATCAATATTACGACGTCAATTACATCCAAGTATGTGTTTTGATCTTTTGTTTTCTCAACTTCATTCGTAATTTTATCTTCCGAAAAAAAAAAATTCATTCATAATTCTTTTGTTAACTTTCATATTCGTTTATTATACTATCATAACACAAATTTTAGTCGCTGCATTAAAATCTTTGACTTATAATTTGTTTTGGACTCTTAAAATTTTTTATAAGTGTTTATGTAAAAATCCAATCTAGAATCTATCACTCCATATTATTCACAAAAATAATAAATAAAAAAAATTATGTGTTGTCTAATAAGTTATGTGATGCATTTGTAGGCACCTTTGTAAGATTTGTTATATGTCTTAGCAAATCATGTAAAAACAAACACAAGAACATTTTGTGTATTTTATATGTTGTTCATCAAACAAGATTTTTAAAAAGGAACATGTTATGATCGTGATTTTATCCATGTTGTAAAGTATCATCCGTGACGATCTAGACAATCCAAGTTTCAATTATTTATATCTCCATTGATGTAAGAGTATAGAAAAACATACATGAGATCAAGCACGACAATTAAGAAAATGTTATGAACAAACATCAAGTTCATAAAAATTGTTGAACTTAGACCTTATTTAGGTTATTTTAATAATTTCATTGTGTCTTCGTCTACCCCCTTCTCTCTTAGTCTCTCTATCTAAATTTTTGTCTCTGTTATGCAAAAAAGATGAACAAACTAGTTAAATTTTGAACAAAACTATATAAAAAAGAAAAAACATCATATTTATTTAATGCAATTCGACACATTATTCTTTCGTCAGGGTAGGTGTGAAAAATATCAATTGCGTATGAATGTTAAAAAATTTTATGGGGTTTACTTTTGGATGGGGTTATTCTCATCCCATAAATCTCTATTCTCCCTCCATTTAATTTCTCATTATCAAAATACTAAATTCGTCTTTTTTATACATACCCCATTAGTAACTAAGTCAACCACCTACTACATACACCCCATTAATAGTTATGCTCATTTATTCTATATACACTCATTTAATGAAAGAAGAAATCGTAAGAAAACAAGTAATGAAAGAAGACAATTAATTTAAATGCATAAATATATTTACGAAAAAAAAAACCAAGCAAAATTGAAACAAGAAAAAAAAAGCCAAAAAGAAACAGTGAAAAAAAAAATAAGCATGTTGAAACAAGAAAAAAGAAAAAAAAAAAAAAATAAGGGAAAAAAAAGTAGACCGAAACAAGGAAAAAACATAAAGAAATAAGCAAACCAAACAACAAAGGAAAAAAAATCAAGTAAAGATTAAAGAAACAAACAAAACTACAATATGCAAAATCAAATATGAAAAAAAAAACAAGCATCCAGCACAGACACAAAATTGAACAAGAAAAAAAATAATAAGCATAAATGCAAAACACTAACAAGATAAAAAGAATTAATAATCTAAAAGTATAGGTATATATATACACATATAAATTCTAAATAAAAAATTATTAAAGTAAATAGAGATATCAAAACATACCGAAAATAATAAAAATCCATATAACAAATATAAAATCAAACATATAATTAAATGAGAAGTAATACTAACATGTATCTCACTGAAAAAATTTATATTAAAAAAGTGTTTATGTGAGTGCATCAGAAGAGATAAAGAATGAAACTAACAAAATATAAAATATGTTTACTTATTAAAAGGGGTGTATGTAGCACGGGGTATAATTAATTACTAATGGAGTGGGTATAAAAGGGATGTGCTTAGTAGTTTGAAAATAAGAAATTAAATAGAATAGGAATGGAGATTTATGGGATAAAAATAGCCTCACCCTTTACTTTTTGGGGGAAATTTTACCCAAATCATTTGATACCTAAATTTTCAATGAAGGTTAAAAATGTCAAGAAGACGTGTAATTGTTATGTGCTATTGAAGAGATAATGTTGTATACGGTGAAAAAGGGTTATCAAACAATGGCAAGCCTCAACAGTGCATCAAGTTAAAACACAAAACAAAATGTGTGGGATTGTTAAAAATCGTTTATAGTATTATACAATTCGATAGTTCAAGATTCCAAGCCAGGATAATTTGTCAATTTCCAATATTTCTGGGGGATCACGTGCAAAAGTAAATTGAGTTTGAAATCAAAAATTTTTACGGCGTGGAAGTAATGTATGTTTTTTTTGAGAACCCAACACTTAATAGCATTTACATATACCTAGAGACTGAAGAAATTATGAATTTGCCTCAGATTGGTGAATGAGTACATCCAGTTGCTTACAATCTGCCGCTTAATTTGGCAAATGAGGCATATGCACCCGAGTTCAATATCGGGCATGGATTTATGGAGGACGAGCAATATCTACTCGAGTTCAATACTAGGCCCAGTACCTAGACATTGTCGATGTCAATGAGATATGCCACATCTTGTTTAAATTTTGGCATCCAACATCAGACTCTTACAAGTTACAATGTCATTGAACAACTTCTTCGGTTTAATAGTAATTGGTGGGCATGCAATGGAATAAGTGCGGGTGATCATAAGAAAGACAAAGATGATGAAGACTAGGATATTTGCACTGATGGCCGACATGAAAAATATTGACGATGACGGTGAAGAAGTTGGGCAATCAAATGCAATGGAAGCCAATGTTTGCTTCCACGAGTCAATGTCCACCTTCTATATTGAAAATGAATTGTCCAATGATTTTGGAACCAACATTGCATCTCTTACTCATATTGCTCACGTATGTGATTCCAATTGACCAGAATTATCCAAAAGACTTATCTTCACAGTCAAAGTGGATTTGCAAGATGCAATGAACATTTATTCTATTAAAAGTCATGTCCAATTTTGAGGTGGTTGAAAGTGAGAGAAAATTATTGACATTGCGATGTCAATGACATAAATTCGGGTGCAAATTGAGGCTTCGTACTTGTGCCAAAAAAACACATAGGATGTTTCAAATTATCAAATATGATGACTCTCACATTTGTTTGCATCCATCAGTCAACCAGGATCATCTACAATTAGATTGACAATTCATTGCACGACAAATTGAAGGCCTCGTGAATGCATATCCAACTTTGAAGATTGTTGTGATAATGCAATACATTTGCGACAAGTATACAAATGACATTTCATATAAGAAGGCGTGGAAATTAAAGCATATTGCAATATGAAATATTTTAACGACTAGGATGAGTCATGGGTATACTACTGATGGCATAAATCAACGTGAATGAGCAAAAGGTGCTAGTAACGTGAGATGAGCGTGGATCAGAGCTGCAAGGCTCGTGTATGATACTGCAATGAAATATTGAGGGAGATTTGAGGGGTGTACACAGTGAAAATATGGTGTTCATTATTCATGATATCCTCCTTGATTTTAGGAGAGAATCTTAGTTGGTTGAGAGTTTCATGCATGAGGCCCAATTCCCGCAGTCACCCAGCTGTTTTATGGTCGGTTCAACTACGATCTCCCCAAGGAAAACTCCACCCCTGGTTCTCTGAGTTCCTCATGTCTTTTCTGACCTCCTGACCTGACCTGACCTCACAGCTAGAGCTTGTTTGAGGTATCATCAACTACAAAAGTATGATGATGACACCATAGTCAAATGACAGTTGATCAACCTTGAGAATGGTATGATAGTGTTAAACCAACTATTTTGGGCTTTTCAACCATCAATCTAAGCATTCAAATATTGGCGTCCATTTTTTCAGTATTGATGCCACATTTCTATATGGAAAACACAAAACAAAGTTGTCAATCGCTGTAGGCATCGATGAGAATCGTCAGATATATCTGCTTACCTTTGCAATCGTGGATGAGAAAAGTATAAGCAAATAGGGTGATTTCTTAGGCTACTTAGACGGCATGTTGTGGGTGACAAAAAAATTTTCAATACAACAGCAATCGCCATCAACGTGTATATTCCAACCTGTGAGTGACAGAATTCTAGATGTCAAATGTTTTAGGTCTATCATCGATTTTGCTTATGACATGTCCACAACAACTTCAACTATAAATTTAAGAATGTCCGTCTGAAACATCTTATTTGGGATGCTAGTAGTGCACACCAAATCCACAAGCATAACCAAAAAAATAGAGGAAATCAAGAAAATCAACTTGACTTCTGCCTAGTTGCTTGATCGAATTCCAAAAGAACAATGGACACTTGAACTTAATGGTGGAGGATATTACATACTTCTCACAGCTAATATTTCTGAGGTATTGATCCATGCCGTAAGAAACGCAAGGAATCTATCGATCATGACATGTGTGCAAATGATATTTTATAAACTTGTTGAGTACTTCAATGACAGGTGAAAGTCGATAATAGATAGCGGTTGCTCGTTCACTCCCTATATCAAGAAGAAGATGTTACATGTTGAATACAAAAAAAAAAGGGTCACAGTGTAACAACATTCAATTGAAGCACCCATAGAGACATACCTGGTCACTAAACTAGTAATACACATGCATTAAACATTTCAAAACCAATGGTATTAATTATCTTTAACTATTTGTTCACGTAAAGACGGAGGCAGAGAGTTAATAGATGAGTTTGGTTCCTTACGAGGTTCCAAGGATTTATAGTACTCCATGAGAGGATTAGTTAAAGATATTGAATACTGTGGGTGGTTTGTGTGGCACCACAGACACTATTTTCATATGTATTTAAACTCTTATTTAGGCTTAGGGAAAGAGTCATACTATTTGGACATAAAAATCTGACATAATTTGCTGACATAATGATGTGATTTTAGTAGAGCAATTAGATTAATACCAAGTTCCAATGTTTGATGGGTCTTACAGTTAATTCAAAGGTCATAGTGAATTAGGTCAGCAAATTAAATCAATAAATTAGGTTCTAATAGCATTGCTCTTAGGAAAAATTTCTCTATCAGACTAGTTATGCTTACCCTTACTTACCATTTTTCAGATTTGGGTGGAAAAACCAAGACCCAAGGATAGGAAGATAGAACTTGTAATTGATCATGATGTCAATCTAAAGATTGTGGGTTGAAAATCTATTCTTCATAACTCGGAGGAGAATTTGAACTAAATATATTTTTTTAATTCACACTCTTAGAGCATCTCCAAGAAGCTATCTAAATCCTCCCTTTTAGTTATTTTACATAACTTTTCCCTAAAATATTATTTCAAGAGACTAGCTAAAAGGCTATCTAAAATAGATAATCCCATTTTCGCTCCATAAATGTAGCTAGCTAGTAAATCGTTAGTTGGCGCCAATCTCTCCCTCCTCGCCTCCTTCTCCTCCTCTTGAATATATGCACTTGTCTCATCTTATAAGCGTTGTAAATATGACTGTTGAAAAACTTAAATTTTAAAATTTTGAATTGCGTGACCGTTGTAAATATGACCGTTATTAATAAAAATTAAAATTTTGATGACGTGACGTAACACGTCAGCATGTGATGTCATCAATATGATGATGACATTACATACTAAATAATATTTTAGATTTTATTATTGAAAGTTAGTTGAAGTGGTTAAATAAAATAGATAGCGTTGTTGGAGTGAGTTTGAAAAAGTGGTTAGTTAAAATAGATAATATAATATTTAAATATATTTTGAGTAGCTATTTTAGATAACCTTCTTAGAAATACTTTTATAAAATTCAAACTGTGATACTCTCTCTTAAATTAATTCTTCTAATATATAGTATAAACATAATATTTTTTATTTTTGTACTTTTAATCTATAGTATAAACATAGATATTATCGAGTATAAACTTTGGCTCAAATTTTTATTAAATTTGAGTAAAAAATTTGATTTAATACCAAATGATATAATAGTTAAACTCAAATTTTAATAGACAAGAAATTCAAATTTTAAAGAAAATCAACTCAAATTTAAAAGATTAAAAGAGAGTAAAGATTTAAATTTTATATGAATTTATGTAAGAATTGAAAATGCTCTTAAATGTGAAAGTCCAAACAAATAAGATTTTGGAAGAGTTACATGTAAACCTTATGAAGTTTGTTATTTAATCACTCAGATTTCTTGATGTTTGAAATATTACATATAAATCTCCTGAAGTTTGTACGCGTGTAACACTTAGACCCCTACCGTTAATGTCCGTGAATATATCCATTGATAAGTTACATCTAAACCCCTTAAAGGTTATAGACGTGTAATATTTAGACCTCTCAAATTTAAAATATTATATTTATATACTAAAAATACTTCAATCAAAGATATAATATTAAATATTTTAAAATTTACAACCAAAATTTATGATTTATTATAATATTTATTGAAATAAAATTAAAATATTTAATTTTTTCTTGAAAAATCATAATTAGTATATAATTATACTATCTATTAGAATTTAATTTGGTCATTTAAACAATCAAATTAAACTAAAAAATTACTCTAATTAAAGGTAGAATATTATTTCCATGGCAGTTTGATGCTTTTTTTTTTTTTTTTAATTTTTTAGTTTTATTCCAATAGATAGTATAATTGTATACTAATTATAATTTTTTTAAAAAAATTAAATTTTTATTTTTGATTTTATTTCAATAAATGACATAATAAAGTATGAATTTTAAATTTTGATTGTAAAATTTATATTCTATTATGAATGACTTAGGGCTCTTTATTTGATGTTTTAGCTTTATTACCATAGATAGTATAATTGTATATTAATTAAGAAAAAATAATTTTTGATTTTATTTTAATAAATAATACAATAGAACATGAATTTTAATTTTAAAATTTAAAATATTTGATATTTAATTTTTGATTAGAACATTTTTTGTTTTAATATAACATTTTAAACTTAAATAATTTAAATATTGTACGCCTATAAATTTCAAAGAGTCTTAGTATAATTTATTAATAGATATATTAACGGACATTTGACTGTAGAGGTCTAAGTGTTACGTACGTATAAATTACAGGCTCTGAATATAATATTTCAAATATGATGAGTTTAATTATAAGTGACTAATCTTTCGAATGTAATTCTCCCTAAGATTTTAGATGGGAGAATCGCCCGACACACCAAGTTTTTCTTAAAGAAATTTTATTCCTTTTTCTTGCATTTTCCGAACAGGCAAACAACACCTTAGGTTTTCCGATGTGAGATGCGTTGCTTGAAGTTCGAAAAAGTTCCCATACCTTCGTAATTTTTCGTCTCCGAATCATTTACAGTTCAGTTCTTCGCTTTACGTAGAAGGAAGAGGATTTCTTAGAGAGAGAAAGCGATAGAGACAGTGAGAGTGAAGGTCCAGCTACTGTTGGGTCTGTGGTAGAGCATACAGAGCTATATAGGTCGACTCAAGAAGGAAGATTGAATGTGGTGGGTCAATTCTTCTCTCATGTGAATTCGAATTTTTTATAATCTTTTTGTTTGTTTTTGCATCAGTTTTTGTTGGATGTTTAGTTTTTTTTTTGCCAATTTTGGCTCAGTTTTGTGGGATTTTAACTGATTTTTAATTTGATGAACTTTTATTTTTTGTGCCTGAAATTCCCGTTTCTTCGTCTGGGATTTTTCAATTTTGTGGCTGTGTAAGTGGGTCTTTCTCGAAAATACCATTTATATGCTTCAATCCCTTTGTTTAGGTACTTTTGATTATCCATTTAGTGGTTGGGCTAGGAATCAGTAGCTGTTCTATTGCTACTCGCAAAGAAAGAAAATAAACTGTTTTTTTGATGGTTTAATTCTGTTTGTCATTGATCTTGCGTGTCAGGGAGTTTTGGAGAAGGCATAAGAGGAAAGTGTATGTCACACTTGGAGTTTTAGGAAGTGGGTACTTGGTGTACAAGCTTTATGATGCTCACAGGCGTAGGCTATCTGATCTGGAAAGAGAACTTGCGGGCAGGCACGAAAGTGATGAACTCATTAAGGCCCAGTTAAGATAAAAGATTCAACATCTCCATTTTCCTTGAGATGGAATTTGTTTTTATGAAACAAATGTTATTTGGGTTCTTACTTTTGGGTTTTCCAATGACTAATAGAATGCAGGCACACTTTGAGAACATCCAAAGAATATCTGATATGACGACATTGCCCCATGCAATGCTATCTTTAAGTAGTCAAGTAGCAGAAGAGTTGGACGTTATGAACCTGGCAGAGAGGCTAATGAAAGGGAAGGGTCGGCCCAACACTCTTGCGTCATCCGAGAGACTCGAGTTATGGGATAGACTCAAAATATTAAGTATGAATTGTTAACCTTTCGTTTTTTTTTTACCTTTGTGGTGCTTTAGCTTTCAAAATCTTCTTCGAAAGTGTTGCAATTAAAATGTTATAGCTAGCTTATTTTTTCTTGGAATTCTGTTTACTGCCCAGGTTTCACTAGGATGGCTTTGTCCCTGTGGGCAATGACGATGCTTAGCTTATATATTAGAGTTCAGGTCAACATATTGGGGAGACATCTATATATTGACACTGCACGTGGTATTGGAAGTTCTCAGCTACTTGTAAGAGCTACTGCCTTTTTCCTGTTTGCAGTTGAAATTTTTATAAGAAACATCCACTTATGTCAATGGCACGATATCAACAGGAAATTTTAGAGTAAGATATCTAGCACATATTTGTGCAAATAGATATTTCATATATGTGATTTCCCCAAAACGTGATTACATTGCAGTGTTTCTTTTCTTAGTGTATGGCTATTGCATTGGTCTGATGAATCAGTTAGTTGTGGTTCTTAACATTTTAGAAAATTGTTTGATGTGGGAGGAGCATTGTCAAAATCCTCACAGTTGTCTCCAAATATTGCCAGGTTTATCCTTGCAGTTTGTTTATAAGGATTTCTCATCCTACCTTACAATCATATAGTTGAAGACATGCATAATTTTTCTGTCTTAGTGAATGCTTTTTGTTTTGGTCCGATGAGTTAGTTGGTTGTGGATCTTAACATTTTGAAAAAGTGTCCGATAAGGGAGGAGCATCGACAAAACCCTAATATTTGTCTCCAAATATTGACAGGTTTATCCTTGCAGTTTGTTTAGGAGGTTTTCTTAGCCTACGTTACAATTCTATAGTTGAAGACATGCATATAAGTTTACGCCTATGTAGAGTAGCTCTTACCATGTAGAAGGAGCAAATTAATATTGTAGAGTTGTGCAGAGATTTATGGTCAGAGAAGTATAAGAAAATTTAACACCACGAAGTTTTGTAAAAAGGTTTAGTTACTATTGTGTTCTTATGAGGAAGTGGGAACATTCCATTGAATTAATCTCAACTGTCGGAGTGTAGTCTGTTGGTTGAGTGGTGGCATGGCTTTTAAAGAGGAAACCATTTTAGACGCATTGTTTCAGAGTTTCAATATTTTACTCAGGAGTGGTTTGTCAAGTTCATGTTTTGTGAGTTATGTGCTTGCTTGTGTGCTTTAGTATGTCTGATTGTTTGTTGTCTTTGGTACCCTTTATTGTTGTGATTGACATGGCTTGGAAAACACCAGGTGTGTTTCAGGTGTATATGGTGGCATCTAGATGGTTGGGTTGAGTTGTTAATATGTATTTAGAAAGACTCTATTTTCTTCCTCCTTGGCTTTAAACTCTGTATGCTTTTCCCGTACCCTACCAAGATTTAACAGCCTTTGAGATTCAGTAGTTTCTCTTTTTTTCTGGTCTAGAACTTTTGTGATGTCTTCTAGGTTTAAGGTTGAATTGGTTCCCCATGTGGAAGTTGCGAAAAAAAAAAATTATGGTTTCTTCAAAATTTCTGGCAGTTATCCTAAAATACTTGTTTTAGATTTCACATCTATTACTAGTACCAGAAAATGAAGGGTCTTGTTAGTTTGGAAATGCAAGTTAAACTTTTTAACAGATTGATAGACATAACATCCTTGTATGCAGTGATGTGGATGATGATACATAGAAGGTTATTTTTTATGGTATTTATGACAAATGGAAGTCTCAGTTTTGATGGGTATTGCGAAATGAGTGAAATCAAGTTTGAGCTTTACTTTATCCTTGATGAGTTTTATGATTATGCTTTTCTCACAATGCCCATTGTATTCTGTTTTTATTTTCTCCTTTTCTCTTTTCAATTTCACATGTATATTTTTTACTGTTAAAACGAGTGCAAAGTCAACTTTTTCTACCATATGGTTTACCTTGCTGGGAGTTATAATAGCATCCCAAAGTATGCAAAAAAGGTTATAATGACCTTCATTTCAGGCCCCTCTGTCATGCAATTACAAGATCCATAATCTCTGCCTAGCCCTTAAAAAAGAATTCCCAACATAAAGCATTGTACTTGATATTTATGGGAGTAACAAAATTAGTCCCGTAGAAAATTGTTTTGCCACATGGCATAATCTTGTTTGTTTTGCGCAGCGAATAATCAACACTGATACCATAAGTTGGGAGATAGAAATTCAAGATAGGAAAACAACAAAACAAACACAAATATATAACATTGTCTGATACAGTGTACCCACATGTGGACATCGTACATACATCCACAGATCAGAAAGTTACATCGATGTGTTATTAACTGGTAAATTGGTAACACATTATATGATACTCAATGGATGAGGAGATGACTAGAGGTTCCACTGATCCTCTTACATGGCAGGAACATGGGGCAATGGGCTGTATAGGGCCTTCTAACACGGACCAAATGTTGGTACAGACTTTTCTTTGTTGGTGATTCCCTTCTTCTTGTTCAAATGCATTTTTTTTCTTTTAAAATCAAATCTGTATCAACAAGGCATGTAATAGATCTTGTTTGCTTGCATGGTGACCTTTCGTACATAATGACAGTTTTAGTACAAAATCATCAAATCTGTCTCTTTTGGTGGTGGCATTTAATGGGTACACATGGCTAAAGCTTATCGTGCCACTGCAGGCATAACACACCACATTGGCACCTTTCTTCTCATTTCTTATAATATGAAACTCATTTTATTGTTTAAACATGGTGATATGGCCTTCTCTCTCTCTTGTGCCCGTAGAAGTCATTTCTACAGCAGGGTGATCTGAACTGCATTGGGATTGCTCTCCGTAAGCTCCTAATAACCATACACCTATGGCCTCATTGAGTATTAGGCTGGAAATATTTCTGTTTTGGATTGTTGATAATCTTCACATGTGATGTCACTAAACTTCTTTTTTAACTTGTTAATAGTTATTGAAGGCTAAAACATCACCCTAAAACAATGATATGCGGTGTAATGGATGAACGGAACCCTGTCCTTCCTTGTCCTTTCAGGAGGAAGCTGATCTAATTGAAAGGAATGACGAGCAGCAGTTTCTTTCCAGTGCAGATTTTCTAAGCAATGATGGCTTGTCCACCTTGATTTCTAATATGCAGGCAGCAGCATCCGGAGTCCTTAAGGGGTGAGGCTTTGCTCAATATCTTAAAAACTAGCATATGTTGTTTGTCTTCATCTAAGCACCAAGTACCAGATGATACCTGTTTCTATTTTATTTTCATATTTATGTACTTTAAGAACCAACAACCAAACAGAGTTAAAGAAATGCTGCTTCACTCCTACCCTCAGCACTTTGGGTAAAAAACACTCGAAAAGAAAAGAAAAAGCTGAGAGAGATACCTACTTATGCTTACAAAATTAGTGGAGTATTCAAGTGAACCTCTTCTGCAGCCTGCAGTCTGCTCCTTGCCCCTCTTAAACACAAATACTTTGTGATGGAACACCATAAACAGTGCGTGGAGAATGAAATACCGCATGGAGATGACAATTACAAATTCAACATCAGGGTACGAAATTAAGGTTTGTCAATGTTAGAAAGCTCACTTTTGGTTAAACTAGTCTCCCAACCTGAAAGAGATGACTACAGCTGAAACAGAGGATGATGTAGAAGAAGAAAATCTCCCGATTCAACCTTCTTGTACATCATTGGTTTCCCCTTTGCTACTAGCTCCTTCTCTTCTTTCGAACCAATTGCTTCCTGATCTGAACCTTCCTCCGACTCCTTCGCTGGAGCTTGCACCTCCTGCACCACTTTTGGCGGAATACTTTGTCCACCAAGTAAGGTTCCTTTGGTCAGTTCACTAAAGCCCTTCGGCGTCAGGGATGGCCTAACCCATGTGCCTTAGGCAAAAATGTTATATGAGGCTCTATTAATATTTATGCAGTAATAATAGTAGTATTAAATAGTTATCAAAATATTAAAATATGTTTATTTAAAATCATTTGTTTTGCCTTTTGAGATACAACATACTAATTCAAATTTTGCAAATAAAAATTGTGTTAACTGAAGTCAAATCCGGAGATCAAATACAATGATACATGCTATTTGTTTAAGATAAAGAGAACATAATTGAAAATTAGTTTAACTGATAAAATAATAAGATTTTATACTAGTTGAGTGATCCTAAAATAAATGAGACATGGCCAGATATTGGTGAGAAATAGGGCTATGTTTAATAATAAAATTTAGTAAGATAACTATGGTTAATTAATTTTATATAGTGCACTACTTCTACTCACTTATTTTATAGTCATTATGTGCATTGTAAACAAACTAATTAAAAAATGGCTTCAAATTTAACTTATAGAAATGTATAATTTTATTCATGTCTATTATACGATAGACAATTGATTTTAATAATAATACTGCAAAGTGATAATATATATAATATAAACATCGGGTAAGATAAAAAAAATTAGGTTGAAAAGCCCTAAATTTTGTTAAAAAAGGTTCTAAAAATTTTACAGTAATACTAATTGCACTTAATTTGAGGACCAAATACATTGGATAAATAGTGAATTTTGTTTAAAGTTGGCACTCACCGGTGATTCAATGGTTAAAATGCATTGAGTACTTAATTATATCCCAAAATTTAGATTGTATACCTTTGTTTGAAATTTTATTTTGGGGCCCCAATTTGGCGGCCCTGGGCAATGACCTTAGTGACCTATAGGTTGGGCCAACACTGTTCGGTGTGTACGTTTATATTTAATCATCCAGTCATATTTTCCCATAATATCAATAAGCTCCATGTTCCATCATGCTACGTCACATCAGCTTAATATTAATAGATTAGTGTTTGTCTTGATGGGTTTATGGCTGACTATTTGTATCAGATGTGCATAGGCTTGTCTGCGCATTTGTGATATAATATATTTTGAAGATTTATATAACTATACAATTATTGTTGCACTTTTGAAATGATATTTGATTTATTTTGTTTTTGGAACATTAGACCACACTTTTGGGGGTTTAGGAGGTGATTCTCGAACCTGCTTTTGCACATTGTGCTCTCTGGGCCACTTTTTCTCCTGGGGTCAGGGGGTGAGGCGGAGGAGCTTTCCTTATTATAAATGCCGTTCATTGATATTTCATGTATTTGATGTATATGTGGATGGAAAGAATATCTCAATGATATTGGCTACCTTTTTAGTTGACACACATCTTTGGGAAAAAAAGAAAAATGAAAAAAACATACCGACTAGTTCTCTGTTGCATATTTTACCGTGTCTTAATGGTACAACAATCAGTTTTAATTCATCTGCATATTGAAAGGATATCTGTGCATTTCATTGATTTATATAACGCTCTTGGTTAATACGTCAAAAAAAGCCTTAAGTTGCTTCGGATTTTTTATAGTTTGTCTTGCATATTCTAAACTAGTGCAATGTTGGTAAATGCAACGTGCTTTGTCTTTCTCATGTGCCTTTCTTTGCTCAGTTTTGTGTCTTCTGTTGGGCCTTCTCCGTAAGCTGACAAAACCTTGGCTTGGGGTCTTGAATAACTATGATAGCACTTTAAAATACCCTTGACTCAAGCTCCATAGATTTCAACCGAGACATGGAACCGACTTACCTACCTTAAAGTCAGTCTCCAAAACTTCCTACGGACTTCCTGTAGGTAAATTGGGTCCTTTGTCCTTGCAAAGTCTTCATCTAGTGACAGTTATTTATGAAGTTTTCTTCAAAATTTTCTGAAACTGCATGGCATTGTATGAAATAGCAGCCACTACTATTTTGAAACGCTAATAAACTTTTCATTTGCATAAAAACATTTGTAAGGGTTTCTTGAACATTCCTGTACCATATTGAATCATTGTGCGGATGTTAGACATGGTTCTTTAAAATTTTTCTGGTATCTGAAATGGCTACCTCAGCGTTTCTCCTGATTTCCCCAGAAGTTCATTTGTTAGTAGCGCACATTGGAAATCTGTATGTGAAATGCAACCTGTTTATTGTTTTTTTCCTTTCTTGTTTCTTTTATTTGAGGATCGGTCTTTCTTCATGTAATGAATTTTTCATCCTTAATGAATTTGTGATGTCGCTGATAAAAAAATTGTTCGTGAACATTTTTTGGCAGGAATCATTTGAAGGATTTGTTCAACACTACTGTACTCCATGATACCATTGTGCAGATACTGGACACGTTCATGAGCATGGGAAATCCTCATCATTGGGTAGATTATTTGATGCCACAGGATGCCAGAGTACAAGACCTTATTGCATCCTCCGGCAGTGACAGTACAGATCTTTCTCATGCAACCAAATTTGACCTACTTATGGCAGAGACACGTGCCGTGTTATCAAGGTACTGTTGTTTTCTTGCTGATTCAACAATTGAGAAGTATGAAGATCAAATAAAAGGTGCCTCTCTTGTGGCTTATTGGCTTCAAATGTGGGTTAGGGCCACAGATATAGAGTTTGAGGTTTGGTAGGGATAGAGGAAGAGTCTTAGGCAATTAAATGCAATCCTCCATTATTAATTGCAAATTCAAGCATTCTTGTGTTCCAGAGATATATATCATGTGAGACAACTTGATTTGTCTCCAGGGATTCACCACGGCTAGCCGTGGTACTCGTTGTCATGTGACTTCTAAACAGAGATGAGGCTGTCTCATTGATAATTTAAAGAATGTTTTGAAGCAACTTCACGTCGAATGACTTGGCATATCTGACCTATGTTCAGTATCGGGGATAAACAATGGTATATAATTTCTATTAAACACCAAAACTTCTCGGCTTTTTAGCTGCTCTAAATGCTGAATTTAGTAAGTTGATCTACTGAAATAAGATTTATTATATAAAGAGTTATTCTGCAAATATTGTATATTTGTGAGTTCATTAAATGACATCATCTTAAAATGCTTCCAAGTAGAACCTGTACCATGGTATTTGTTTTGTGCTTGAGAGATTGAAATTTAAACATAAGCTGACCCAAACTATTCTTGTTTCAACTTGCTAATTTTTTTGACAAATTGTATTTATTTATTTTGCTTGCAGTGCTGAATTTGGAAATATCGTTGATATGACCTTGAAAACAGTGGTGGATGCACTGGTAGAAGATATAGAGGTTCAATCAGAAGGCAGTTTGTCATCAGGGATGCCACTAGCCAAACTTCTACCCCGCATTGCACAGATGGCACCACTACTGCTTGAAGAACCTAGTAGGAACAGGTTTATCCAAATCATCCGAAACATACAAGAAGTTGAACTATTTTTCACACTATTATATGCCAACGCACCGATCGGGTAGTATAGTGAGCTGATTGTAATTTCAGGAATATTTTTTTGTTTCAACTTATGAATGAATGCAAAGGTGGCTAGGTGTGGGTTCTCAAAGCCTTGGTGTAATAGTAATTTTTTGTTCACTTGTCAGGGTGTCGTCCCAAGATCTGATGGGTTGTAATGAATAAAAGGATTTCCTGAGGGTTTTCCCATGGTTCAATTCTTGGTTTATTGAACGTTTTTTCCCTTTGTATGATGTTTTATTTTACATTTTTGCTTCATAGAAGTTTTTCCCTTGCAGCAATTTGTTTACTGATGTTTCATTTTGTCACCTTAAGTCTTACAATTTTGCTTTAGAGCTGTCAGTAGATTGGGTTAGGGTGAATGAAAAAGGTGGGAGTTTTGATAATTGTTGCATAATTCTCATTTAGATTGTTTTTTCCTTTGGAAATCACAAGTTGGAGGTCCAGATGAGTCTATTAGAGTTGGCAATAGGCTAATAGCCTCTCACTCCACACTAGGTGGCCAATCACAAATCTCAAGGGAGATGTTTTGCTGCATATCATTTCGCTTGGGTTTATCAGGAGAGGACTGAGGAAGCGAAGGACTGTTAGGCAAAGGCTGTAAAGAGAAGGAAGAAGTGAACAGATTGAGAAACGCAGGCTAATCGAATAATGATTTCATTTGCGTATAATATTTAGATCTTTACCCTATTGTCTATTAGAATATGTGCTAGTAAAGTATATTTAGATCCCTTAAAGTTTGTATATATATATATAAATATTTAGACTCCTCAAATTTAAAATATTATACTTAGACAAAAAATATTCTAATCAAAAATAAAATATTAAATATTTTAAATTTTATCATTAGAATTTATTTTCTATTATGTTATTTATTAATAAAAAATTAAAAAAAAAATTTGATTTTTTTAATAAAATTAAAAAAGAATTACTCTGCCAGATCCTTAAGTCCTCTCTCAAACCTCCAAAGTTAGAGTCTGCAAATAACAATGTTCAACATTTATAATCTATAATATAAAATAGAATAAACATTAATAAGTTTAATCGACGGTCTTAAATAGACTGATTTAACGATCACTAATATTCTTCTTAAAATCATTCACATTGTATCATATTTTCAAACACGAGTTACCCTAATAAAAATTTACAATTCGGTCGAGTCGCATCCATATCACTACTTTTCCTTTTGAAATAGATACCAATTAAAAGTAATTCATGAGTCCTACTCTAATCGTGATTTTGTAAACTTAAAAAGTTGAGTCATTCGGGTCAAAGTTATCAAAGTGTATTTGATCAATATAATTATTTTCGGATATAGTAAAACAAATTGTTTTATTTCTGGATATATTAAAAAAAAACATAAAATGCCCTGACCTACATATATATATTGACCAAAAATAATGCATCTCTTCTATTTAATACATCGGGCTGTTTAGAGCTAACTTATTTAGGTAAAAAACTCTAGTTGAAAAGATTTGCAAAAAAATCCGAGTTAAAAAATCCCTCAAAACTATTTACGTGTTCTTTAAAAAGTTGAAAAAATCTCTTTGGAGTGACTTTCTAGTTTTTTTATGTCCAAATAAAAAAAATTACATTTATGTATAGATTATGCATAATAGTTCTAAAAATATAAATTTTAAACTTTTTTACGTTATGAATATAATAAACTAAAAAGTTATACGAGACCTGTGACAAAATTCCAAAAAGTCAAAAAAAAATTCAACTTAATCAAATATTAAAGAGAAACACAAAAATATTGTTTAAAATCTCAAGAGTTGTCTATAACTAATCAATTCTATGAAAAATTTCTCAGCAATTTCCTTTTAACCTTGTTGAGAAATTGATATTTTTAAAAGGGCTAGTTGTTCCAAATCTAAAAAATGTCTATAATTTGATGGATTCTATGATAAATTTGTAATTATTATTTTTTTAATCTTGTTGAAAAATTAACATTTTTGGAAGGTCATAAATGTTTTTGGGTTAGCATAACTTATCATTTATATCTATTCCTATGTTATTATACAATAATGTTACTCTTTCTGTTCCTAAATATCTGTCGTTTTACACAATTTTTTTTATTTCATAATATCTGTCGTTTAATGAAACCAAAACATAATTAATATTTTTTCTTCCAAATTTACCCTTAACTTTTCAATACATTAGATTAGGTGGAAGTTAAGTGTTTTTTATATTCCTTTCATTCCCAATACATATTGAATAAGGGTATTTTAGTCTTGTACAATTATTTTTTACTCATATTAGAGCTATTTAATAGTTTCTTTAATCCCTATGTAAAAACTTTAAAGGATGGAGTAAATAAGAGAGATATTGTATTTGACTAATGTATATGTGATGTGTTAATGAATCATACTGTTTTACTTATTTTGATAACAAAAACATTTGTTTTAACAGATTAAGGGAACAAGTGAACCACTAACTTAGTGAGGACAAAAAAGACTAGGCCACTATTCAAATTTCACAAAGCTTAGGAGCAATGAGAGAAATTGAACATAGCTTTTGTTGCCATAACAATTTATATAATTAACCGCTCAAATGTCAGTGAGGGTTGCCCCCACACTAATGCACGTAGCTCCACTCCCCTGGGGTTATTAAATTCACTTACAATTATTACATTTATAATATAAAATAGAGTAAATTTTAATAAACTCATCCGACAGTCTAAAATAAATTCGTTCAACAGCTACTAATATTTATTTCAAAATTATTCACATTATATTGTGTCTTCGGACATAAATTATCTCTAATTCTCGTACAAATCGTTTACATGTAAAAGATCAAGTGAAAGATAGCCCAAGTTTCCTTTACCTTTTCTCAAAAGTCCGAGTGAAAGTTTGTATTTTCATGTCCGCATGTGTTTTGTTGCATTATTCATGCACCTAGTCTAGGACTAGGCAGACATAGTTGAAATTAGATTGGTCAATTTTACTATACTAGGAGTCATGCACGCACATGGCATCTGTGCGCAAATAAATAAATAAATAAAAGGAAATAAGAAGGGTTGAAATATATGAATCTAGATTGTTAAATATGATTAAATAAAAAAATTTAGATGATCTTTAATGAAGTCTCTTACTGCTGGGAATTATTCTATTAATTGTGGGGAAGATGATTACACCAATTGAGTATTCAAACATTGTCCGTGTACATTGTGGGTGATTCGATCCCTTTTTACAATCTTTAAATGTATTGTGTGATTACTCTGTGTGATTTTCATCGTCTTCTTGTACTTGATGCTCTCTTTGCGTAATTAGCATCGATGGCATTGAAGCGATTGTGACTTATATGTCAAAATATTGAGCCGTTACGAAATAAACTTTCTAGATGAGATAGGTGCCAACTATTATTGTCATCGTTAATGAGAAAATCGTTGATGAAGCTCCTGACCTGTACATGTCAAGACAGTGGTCATGGGCTACAGAATACGGGCTCAATTTCCGAGCTGATTGTACCGAGCTAAAACTTAGATAATTTCAGCTACCATCAGTTATGTTTCATTTTTAATTTTCTATTTAAGTGTGTGAACTTTATAGAGTTTGATTTACCTTATCATTCAATAAAATAAAGAGCAATGTTATCTAAAATTAAAAAATATATTTAATAATTACAACTATGCATTAAAATACCGACATCCTCTTCTTCACCTTCGGACAACACGATATCTAGAAAGACCTATCCCGGGGGAGGTCAGACCGACGTTCCTGCAATCACCAGCAAGTGTCAGCCAAACAACTGTATGTCTATATACGCAAAAACATGTGCAAACACGTACACAGAGAGAGAGAGAGAGAGAGAAGGGACCCTTCAGTCCAAGACAAGAAAGCCATAACTGAACTCGGCTCCTGCATCGTTCGATCAGAAACAAATCCATATACATCCTTTGGTTGGACCTGTTCATGACCAACGAGCAGCAGCAGAGATAAGCCCAGAACTATCTTGGTTAGACCGAAGAGCTT